GTGTTTTTAGGGCATTGTTTTCTGAGAGAAATAACACAATCTGGTCACAGGCGTGTAACGGCTCCTGTCACACAGCTGGGCTCCCACATGTTGGGTGTCGGGTGCTGTTTCCCATCGGTGCCGTATGCCACTGTGATGGCCACACCTCCAGTTCTAGTGCTGAGATCTCACTTCTTAAGGTGACTTTTGCTTGGGGACGTACCAGGTTTCCCATGCCAAAACCATGGTTTCCTAGAGCATCCATTTGGGTTTGGTCTTTTTCCGGTTGATTTTTGCAAGATCTCTCCCTCTGCGCATCAGTGATGGGGATGGTGGGGCCACAAAGGCAGGGTGCTCTGGGTGGGCCCTTGTCATTATTTCATTTGACAGCAGGGGAGAAAGAAGAGCTTGAAGAAGGATGGGGGCTTCTTGGCTGTCAGGCTGCCTGTAGCAGTTGTCACTCTGACATTCTTTTTTTGGAGAAAAAGCTACCCCAGTTTTAGTCTTCTAAAGAAATGATGGGCTGGAAAGTTCTGGCCAGAGGAAGGCCCCTGTTCTCCTGCTGGCTTCTGGGTGACCTTGAGCAAGTTGCTCAGACCAGAAACCCCCAGGCATCCCTTGTGAAACCAATGGGAAATTTGATGCTTAAGGGGGCTTTAGGACTTTGCCTGTGGATTATGGGTCAGGGCTCTACGATGAGGGAGGCAACGTATGAGTAGAGCAGCAATTGAGGGAGGTCAAGGTTTGCAAGCATGAGCTAGAGGAGTGCTGGAATGCAACTCACACCGTCATGAAACGCAGCTCACAGCCTTGCACAGGAAAGGCAGCTCACTTGGGGCTGGCTTGGAAGGAAGGAATTTTGGGGGCGCTTGGGAGATTCCTGTCCCCTGCAGACCAGAGCTGGGATAAAGGTCAGCTGCGGCCATGCCAAACCCAGCCGCATAGTTCCTGGGTGCCTCAAATCAGGCAGGCCCCAAATGTCAGCAGCTGCTGGGCCGGGAAGATGATCCTGAACAATTCTCCTATTAATAGGCTGCAGAGGGGAGGCACGGAGCAGGATGGGGCTTGCTGGCCCCTTCCTCTGGACAGGTCTCGGAGCATGTTCTCAACATGATGCACTGCCTGAGAGAAGGCAGGGGCTGAAATAACTCACCCCTCTGCCGTAAGGAGGCAGCTGGCTCCAGGGTGGGTTCCCAGGAGCTGCCTGAGCTCGGGAATTGGGAAGAAAGCTTGGCCAGAGGTCTGGATCAGCATGAGCTTTGCTGGAGAGGGTGCAGGGTCCTCCCCATGCTGTGGTCCCCAGGAGGTCCCCATCCTGCCTTTGCCAGGACACCAGTTTGGGACAGACTCCTCTTTCCCATATTGCACCCCATCTAGGAACGCTTGAGCAGGAAGCCAGTGTAGATCTCTCTCCTCTCATTCCCCACCCAAAAAAGCTCTGATTTTTTTCACTCGCAATTTCTGGCGGGGTTTCACTGAAGCACAAGGCAGTCAAGTGACTTGCCTGTCAGGGGACTTATCAGAAAGTGGGGATTAGAGCTGTGACGTCCGTCCAGCTCCTGTCACCTCCGGGCAAGAGGAGGTGTGGTGCTACATCAGGCTGGAGCCAGCTCTGCGTGGAAGACTCCAGCCCGTGTCCCTTTTGCACAGCAGCCCCAGGCCAACTGCAAAAAATTATGACTGGACTGCACTTGCATTGAAATTTGACATTTGAGAGCTTTTTGGCAAATGGGGTTTTATGTGAAGCCGGCTTTCTGTTGCTGCAGCTGACAGAACTGGGCCATTCAACATAGTTTGGGAGGCTTTCACCCCGTGGGATGCTGCAACCCAAACACATCTGATCTGCGGTGCAAGAGAGCGTGGTGGCCCGGGGCTGCAGCCTCAGTGTTGGGGTGCGTGGGTGGGTGTGTTGGGATGCTCACGGGCTGGGTAAAATCAGAGAAAGGCGACTGCTCTGTAAAATGCACTTGGGGTGCGAAAGATCTGGAGCTCAGCTGTTGTTTATGGGGGCTTGAGCCCGCAGTTTAGCCTGTCTGGCTGCGGGGTTTGGTTGGATCCTGCTTTTGCCATAGGAGTGGTAGAATAGGAACTGCTCTTTGGGAAGCAGATTTGGGGAATACGTATAGGAGGTTTACTCGGGTGGCCCTAGGAGGCAGCACAAACCAGGTTTTGCAGTTGCCTCTCACCCTGGGGCCGTGCTGAGGTTTCTCAGAGTGAATTTGCTCCCAGAAGCTGTCAAAGTGCCTCTTTATCTGATCCTTGGGGTGTCAGAAGTTTTCTGGATGAAGCATCGAAAGGGAAAAGGACAGCTCTGACAGCCAGGCGTCACGGGGCAGAGGTTGCCATTTCTCCGT